GAGGGGAAGCCTTCGGCTAGACAGAGCCCTCGGCTGCGAGGGGAAGCCTTTGGCTAACAGATCAATCATCGAAGATTCCCTTTGGAGACAAGCAACCACCGCATTTAATGCGACGTCACATCCACCCACCGCATTCAATGCGGCGCACATGCGAATGCCAGTGCCACCCGATTGAGGTGACCCCTCAGCCGTCAGATTGTTGACACGTGTACCCTCATCGCATTTATTGCTGCTATAAATAGCACCCCTTTTCCCCATTGTAAAACACGCTGAGTTCATTTAATACAATCGACTCTCTCTCCTCCTATTTGCTCTGACTTCTCTCTAGTTATCCCCGCGATAACCCCTTGGATAAGATACCCCCCAGGTAGACAATCCATCAGATATTTTGGGTCGGGTTATTGGGCCTGACCCTAATATCCCAACATAAGTCCCCCACTTCTGATTTTCCGAGCCTGCTTAGGACATAAGGAAGTAGAAATTTTGTTCTCCCGCCATTCGATATTACTCGTATGAGGTTGGATGGTTGGGTTTTGCATGTTACCGATACAGGGATTTGACGATTATGGCGGCTGTTGGTTGAGTTCTCTGGGCAATGTCATGATTACACGACGTTCCATATCTGTTTGACATGTGTCCCTGGAAACGCTCCCAACTGTGTGTTCTTCTTTCGTTGGTTGGTGAATCGGCGCTTTCGAACATAATTAAGGCTCTTGGACCTCTGGTTCTGGGTTTTCGAACTTTGCTTTTTCGCCCGTTTGCTCTAGCTTCTCTCTAAAAACCCTAATTTCAAGTCCGTCCAGGTAATCTTCGAGCCTTTTCTATTCTTTCTGCCCCCGTTTCTTCGTTTGGCCAAATTTTTGAGAGTTCTAGCTCTTCTAGTCCTCCTGTTTCGGATCCCACCATTAATGAGACAGTTCGGGGAGATGCGACTAATGCCGCCGTGGATAGTACATCGGACACAACACACTACAGAGAGTGCGGCTGATGACCACCACTCTAATGACGATTTTGATGACACCAAGTCCGACGATGACATGGCGGTTGCGAGGGCTGCCCCCACATGATACACCCCGCCATGAACTGAAACTGAAATATAGCTAACAGGAAAAGGAGACAAATGCTCTCCCCAAAAATTAGAGCCCAAATCCCAATCCTCGTCCTGGACCTGGCCGATTTTCATCTTCACGTTGGGTTACATCCGTTGCGCCACCACCCAGGAATGGTGGTGGTGCATTACGATTCTGTCAAGGTCGGGCTAGATTCCTGTTGCATCCTTTCTTTGTTGAATTTATCAACCATTACGAGGTGGTTGATTTGAGAAAAAAATAGATACAATAATAAATACAATCTCCACCAAGATGCAGTTGTGCCGACAGTCTGGGGATAACTAAGAAAAAAGAAAAAAATAGTGCACTCCACCACCCGATCGGGTATGCTCAGAAAAGTGACTTTCTGGACAATTTTCTAAGATACCCAATCGGGTATCCTATATACCCGATCGGGTATCAGACCCTGCAGCTCCCAAAAGCCTATAAATACACCTCTTTCCTTCACAATAAAATCACCATTTCACATATACTTCTAGGCTCAGTTTAGACAAGTTCTTTCTTTATGTTTTCATCATGTTTAGTCTCCAAATGAGGAGCTAAACTCTTCCATATTAATAACGAGACGCGTTCATTAATAAAACTTACTATCGAGTTAATATAGAACACGCGCCGTATATTAACCCGATAGTAGCAATAAAATCAAGATGAAAACGATTGAGATTGATAACCTCAACACAAGCGGTTTATCGGTTTAAAGTCGGCATCTTGATGTTGAGGTTATCAATCTCAATCGTTTTCATCTTGATTTTATTGCTACTATCGGGTTAATATACGGCACGTGTTCTATATTAACTCGGTAGTAAGTTTTATTAATGAACGTGTCTCGTTATTTTAATAGCTACCCTCGATGAACTGGATATACTCCTCGATTGAGTATTCGAGAGGAAGATAGTTAAAGATATAACCGGGATCGTCGAACATTTCATTAAGTGGATAAGAGCAAAACCAAGTCCCCATCTCTATTAATTAAACTCATTTAAGTCATTCATCTTAGTTTTAATTAAATTAAATCAAATCAAATCTAAAACCCCCTTGTTACTAGTTATAAAAAAAGAGAAGTATTCCTTTCCCTGTGGATACGAACCTTACTTCGCTATACTACGTATCAGTGTTGTATTGTATTATTACTTTGAGTGCACACCACGACAAAGTGCACGTCACTTGTCCTTCATCAACGGGCCGACTTCATCAGCGTCATCGTCCTAAATGGACAGGCTTCATCAGCGCCATCGTCCTCAATGGACAGGCTTCATCAACGCCGTCCTTCATATTCAGGCAGGTGCCTAAGCACAGTCCTTCATCATTGGACTGACTTCATCGTCGTCGTCGTCCTCATCTTCACACAGGCGCCCAAAGCCTTGTCCTTCATCAACGGACCGACTTCATCAGCGTTGTCGTCCTCAATAGACATGCTTCATCAGCGCCATCCTCCATCTTCAGTCGGGCGCCCAAGCCTAGTCCATCATCAGACCGACTTCATCATCGCCGCCTTCATCATATTGGGACGGGCGCCCAAGCTTGATCCTTTTTCATCAACACTGTCGTCCTCAAATTTTGACAGGTGTCCAAAGTCTGGTCCTTCATCACCGGACCGGCTGCTTAACATCGTCTTCATCTTTAGACAGGTGCCAACACTTTGTCCTTCATCATAGGATCGATTCACCATCGCTGTCATCCTCACATCACAACCAGTCCCTCGGCCACGACGTGATGCTCCATCTCAATACCGGCACCCAACGTCGAAGTCTTGAACTAGCGACAGGACTCGTTATTCCCTTCCTGGATAACGACCGTCGCTTCTATATGACGGTCGACTCATCACCACGTCTTCATCGTCTCATGAACGACCTTATCAAAGCCGTCACTTCTATATCAATACTCATTTCAGAGCGCCCAGTATCTTGATTTAGCGACTGGGCTCACTATTCCCTTCTCGGATAGCGACTGTTGCCATATATGACGAACGACTCATCTTCGCATCGTCACCATATTTCGGAGCGGCTTCATCATCATTGCCGACCTCACATCACGGCCGACCCCCTCAACCTCGGCGTGATGATCTATCTCAAGATCAGTCTCCTCAGCACTGAAGTCTTGAGCTAGCGATCGGGCTTGCTATTCCTTTCCTGGATAGCGATCGTCACTTTCATATGGTGAACGGCTCATCATCGCCCCGTCATCATCTCATGAACGGCCTCCTTAACGCCATCATGTCTATCTCAAAACCGGATTCCAACACCGAAGTCTTGTTATAGCAATTAGGCTCGTTATTCCCTTCCCGTATAAGCAACGGTCGCCCTTATATGATGATAGGCTTCATCATCGCCTCGTCATCATATCATGAACGACCTCTTGATACTGTCATGCTTATCCCAAGACTGGCTCCCCAACACCATAGTCTTGGTATATCGATTGGGCTTGCTATTCCCTTACGGGATAACAACCATCGCCCTTATATGACGCTAGGCTTCATCATCGCCTCGTCATCAGATCATGAACGGCCTCTTGACATCGTCATGCTTATCCCAAGACCGACTCCCCAACGCCGAAGTCTTGGTATAGCGATCGGGCTTGCTATTCCCTTTCGAAATAGCAACCGTCGCCTTTATACGACGATCTGCCTCATCATCGCCCCATATTCATCCTTAAGACTGGTCTTAGCCATTCCTTTACCAGATGGCGACCATTGCTCGGATCTTAATGATGAAGACACACAAGGCCCCTCAGTCTCGACGTGATATTAATGATGAAGACACGACAGGCCCCTCGGTCTCAACGTGATCATCATTCTCAGAAGAACGGCCTCATCCTCCCACTGTATGGATGAGGACCGTTGCTTGGATTTTTGGACCGGGTCATCATCGTCATCATCCTCATATTCAGATAGGTGCCCAACGCCTAGTCCTTCAGCATTAGGACCGACTCCTCAGCGCCGTCGTCCTCATATTCAGACAAGCGTGCAACGCTTCGTCCTCATATTCGATCAAGCATGCAACACTTCATCCTCACACTCAGAGTGGGCTCGGCCATCAAACCAGCCGCACAAATGCCGGCCGAATCAACCACAAACAGTGGGTCACATAACGTCCGCAACACAAGCAACTGACCTAGCAACCAAGCCTATGCACTTCATTGGCCACACTCTTGGCATCTCTTCGGACAAGAACTATAGTAAGGTACAATCCAAAGCCTTCGGCCCCTCGTACAAAACCCATCGATGATAGCATCTGGCCAACGACCTTCATCCAAGGGTTCTCCCACAGGGACCTTGGTGAGGATCGCGTAGGGGTTGGATTCATGAGGAATGTGTGGGTGTCCTTGGGGACAAGGAACAAAAATGTAGTTATAAAGATGATAAAAAAAACATAAGATATTGAAAGAGAGAACTGCCAACTTTTAAAATGTTAGGATGTTTTCTTTGGAGTGTTTTTAGTGTGAGACCATACCAGATCACATCAGACTACACTTAAACAGATCAGATCAGACCATTCTTGGACAGTTATAAAATACACATAGATCGAATGTTTACCAGCTCAGACCAGACCAAACAAAATTTAAGCAGGCTAGATCAGACCAGCAAAATTTCAGTTCAAAAAGTTCAAAAGAAAACACACTTAACCTCCTAAGTCACTAAGTACGGTTGTTTTTTCTGGTGCAAATATATTTGTTTATTTGAGTGTGCAAAATGGGTGTAAATATCCTTTAGAGGCATTAAGTAGTTTATTAAGAGAAGGGTAAATTTGGTCACCCAAGCTGCGCATACCGATAACTGTCTGACTGAATTCCATCGGTAATCGGCTCTCTCTTCCCAAAAGCATCACACCGTCCAAAACCTATTTGAAAGTTTCCCAATGAACGAACACTCCTGGTTTCTTGTATCATCCAGCTTCTTCGTGTAGAACTTTAGCAACCAAAGTATATTGATCATATGTTGAATGTTTTTTTGCTTAGATAGTAGTAGTGTTTAACCCATGGATGTACTAGACTGTGAAGGCTAGGAGAATGTATTTAATTTGTGAATATCTCTTTCGGCATTCTTGATTGACATTCTTAAGCTAACTTATGCTCCGTATTTATTTATTCATTCTTGCATGCCCCACATACATTTTTGCTCAACAACTAACAATTGCTAGCTTAATTGTATGTTCAATATAGTGATTTTGTCGTATATGATGCTAGCTAGCTAGCCATTAGTGGTGGTTAAACATTTAATTTGACTAAGTGTAACTTGATTGTGTTGTGTGAAATTTCTCAAGGGCAAAAGAGTGAGTCTGAGGAATGGATAGTGAAAAGTTGAATGGAGTTGATGATATCAAATGGCTTTGCTCACTAAACGAGACTGAACTTGTAAGTCGATCGATCTTCACTTGGAGTGTACGGACTTGTGTTTGGAAAGCTAGCTTATTTGATTAATTGGTAATATGGTTTTCATTGAATGAATTGGTAGGATTTCCTAATGAGTTTGAAAGTGATGCTTCTCAGACGAGCAAAACAAATGGGTTCCAAAGCTTTAGCCAAAAAGTTTGATTTAAAGTTTCTCCGCGCTCTCGGTATGTGTGTATATATTTTGGTTCAAGTGAGAAATGCATCTAATGTGAGAAATGAGAATGAATCTCAGCTATTATATTTACGAAGTTGCACTAAAAATGGTTTTATGGTGCAGTAATATTTAAATTTTGCAATGTTGCACTAAAACTGTTTCATGTTGCCCTAATATTTGACGGCGTTGCACCGAAATAGCTTCATCTTGCACTAGACAAGTGTAATACGGATTTTTCAGAAGTATTTACAGAAATGTCACCGTGCTAGATTGTATATTTCAGTGCATCATGGAGTGTCTTTTACTGCAACTTAGTCGAATCTAATGACTGAGATTCATATATATACTCCCTCCGATTTAAAAACAAGTTCCACTTTTCCTTTTCGGGTAGTTCCAAAATTAAGTTCCACTTTCAAACCTTTCCTTATTTGGCAAATTATCTACATATAAACAGTTCCAAACAGTGTCAAACAATGTCAAACAGTGCCAAACAATGTTCAAACAGTGCCAAAAAGTGCACTCCACAGTATATATATGGAAGAGTTCAAATAAAAAGTGGTCTTCCCGTGCAAAGTACAAAATTTGCACTTTTGCATGTTTCGTTTGCACTTTTGCTTGTTTTCGTTGCACTTTTTCGCAATTGCGATTTTGGTCAAAATGATGGTGGCAGTTTTGTAAAAAACCCAATTTTTTTTGCCACCACGAAAAAGTGCAACGAAAATAAGAAAATGTGCAAGCGAAACATGAAAAAGTGCGAATTTCGCCCGGGAAGATCAATTTTTATTTGAATCATCCCGATATATATAGCAATTGCTATTTTATTCATTTTCATTCACATAAAATTATCTCTATCATCTACCTTTTGTGCATAATAACTTTTGTGCTGGCCGAATTGAATGGCAATAAATGAATCCTTTATGCATTTTTCTTTTCCTGTACAGGTTTTATTTTCATTAACAAACTTAAAGGACACCTTCAAAGTTCTATTGGGTCGTCGTCCTCCTCGTCTTTGGATAATTGTAAATTGCTAAAGTTTGATATTGACACGTGTTTCAAAAACTTGAGCATTCAAGAGTTGGACACGTATATTTGCACTGAAAAGAGGAAAAGATCAGTGCTTTCCATGTAAGTTAACTTTCTTTACTCGGAAGCTATATATGTGATTAAAACCGGACCGGACGGCAACTCAGATCATTCACCGGGTCAAAACCTTAAAAATATCAATAGTCATGTACAACGTGTGTGTAGACTATAATAATAGAAATAATACGGAGTATGTTGATTATTAATTAATAATTATCAATAGATGTGCTATTCTCAACGTATGAACCGGAAGGTATGGATGTGTAATCACAATTGTTATTAAATGTAATCACAGGGTAGATGTGCTATTAATTAATAATAATAATTATAAACGTATGTTTTATAAACTTAAATAACCAGGTTTCCGATCCGGGTTTGGTCCCGTGTTTTGGCCTGGTTTTCCGATCAGGTTGGACCCTAACCGGCCTGATATTCCAAGCACGTCACCCACCATGTTCCGGGTCGGTCCAGTTTGGATGTGTTAACATTTGTTTGAAGTAGGGGTGGGCACGGTCCGGTCCGGTCCAATATTTGGCCGAACCCGTACCCGTACCGTTACTATTGAAACGGTTCGGTACGGTTCGGTCTTAGACCCAAACCCGTTCGGTACGGTCCATTTTCAAACGGGACGGTACCATGTCATACCAATATCAAACAATGCCACTTTTTCCAGGTGTTTAAGAAAAAATTAAAGTTTAGCTATCCTCCAAAAATCCACACAATTTATCAATTTTCATATATCATACTACCTTCGTTCCAAATTGATTTGTAAAGTCAATCTTTTTTGGTCAAACAATTTCTTTTTATTCACTTAATTAGAATTTCACTTTTTAATTATATTCTAATTTGGCCTATCAAAAAAACTACTCCGTACTTCGTATATTTTAATTTGGATTTTGCAACTTTAGAGAGATTTTAATGTGGTTTCTAAATATGTAAATTTTAATTATTAAAAATTGTATCAATTATCAAGAACTTAACATTAACTTTGACAAAAAATGTTGGCTTTGCAAATCATTTGGGACGGATGAGGTAATTAATATATTTTAGATAAACTATAGTAGTACAAATTTAATAAATCATACTTCGGTCCGGTTCGGTCCGGTACCGGTTCTCATTTTATGAGAACCGGTCATGGCATTGTTTGGAACCGGTTCGGTCCGGTTCGGGACAAAAAAATTTGAGATCCGTTTCAAACCCCGTTTATCGGTCCGGTACCATACCGGTCCGGTTCGGTATCATGCCGGTTCGGTATTTTTGCCCACCCCTAGTTTGAAGCACTTGAACTTTCAAACATTTTGTGTGCAAATATTAATTTTAGTGCAAACATTTCGATTTAATTTATGGACTTTTTTTTTTAATTAGTTAAGAAATTTGGTTCCAGGTTGTTGGAAGACATGCCTCCCGGCCAGAAGCAGAGAAGCTAGAGCAATTTATAATGAGAATATGGATGGGTAAAGTAAACCGCAACCGCCGTATATATTAATTATGGATTGGTCATTTGGTCATGTCAAACGGCTGGCTTTTGTATTCGGTGTACAACGCCCGCCTATATATTTTGGCTTTTTTGATGGATGTCAAACTTAATTAAGTGCTTTCCCCGGCCCACATAATTCTTGGGGCCCAATTTTCAATTCAAACACAAAGTTCCTACTCACTGTGTCCATCAGAAATACATACAGTGCCATATATGACCCTATACTCCCCAACTAGCCTGCTCATCAACATTGTAAAAGATTTCATGTGTTTTTTACCCTTTGTTGTTTTCTTTTCATTTTTTTTCTCTTCTTTTGTTATTCCCTGTTCTTCTTACTTTCATGTACTCCTCTTTGCTTCTTCATTAATGAAATTCTCTTTTCAAATAAAAAATCACAGTATAATTCATATACCTTATTGATGGAGTTTAATTCTAACTAGTACAGTACCCGTGCATACGCACGGGGAAATAATCGATGGATATATTTGTAATCATGATCTAATTAATTAGAAACGGAAATAATTTCAAAAAACTGACATTCTTCTTAAAAGCGAGTACAATATCTGAATATCATAAAGTGTGAGTTAATAAAATAAATATTAAGTAAAATATTAAACTTAATTTTTAGAGGTTTTGGAAAACCTCTTTAAATACAACATTCGTAATAGTGTGTAATGATTTTCCATTCTTATCAAGTATTATTAAAATCTTCAATCCATGTTTGCTCTGAACTCTTGATAATGTCACATACAATTGTCTATGACTAAAAACAGGTCTAGACAAGTATAATTCAACTCTTTCCAATGATTGTCCTTGAGATTTATTGATTATCATCGCATATGAGACCATTGTAGGAAATTGTCTTCCGATAAGTTTAAAAGGCGATGGTGATTGAGAAGGAGACATACACATTCGAGGTATGTAAATCTCATCTCCATTATTGCTTTCAGACACGATTCTTGCTCCAATGACATGATTTCCCAATCTTGTGACAATTAATCTAGTTATATTATATAGTCCTTCTGACTGGTCTATATTTCTTAGCAACATTACTGGAGTCCCAATCTTAAGACGTATCTTGTGATTTGGGAGATCTGATGTTCTCAAGGAATTTAGAAGCTCTGGTGTCAATGCTTCAAATGCTTCTGCTTCAACTACATCCAACTTGTCTACACTCTACAAATGTAATAAACACAACTGAATTAGTACTTAGAAAAAGATGTTCATGTGTATGTGTCCACTCTCATTATGTTTTTAATGTAAATAGTTTAATTTCTCAAATGAATGACAATGAGATATGTAGACAATTAGAATTATGAAATTGTTTTATTTGAATATATTCCTTTATCCAAATGAATGACAAATTATATGTTACTTGATAGGTGAAATAAATTATATGTTACAGAGTACTTGATACGTGAAATTGTTTTAATACCTCAGATAAGAAAAGTTGATTAGGGTAATTAGGAAATAATGTTAATTTATTGTAATAGGAAATAATTAATTTCATCTTTTACTAATTTTTTAATTATATAATTAGTAGAATTTAGAAAGAGTGACTCAGATCTGCTAAACTAATCATATATACTTTATGTTCTCTTTTTGAATTCAAATATAAGGTGAATGTAATTTAGGGTGATACTTTTAATCACAATCTTATAATTTTTTGGTAGGATAAGTCTCATGAATAACTTGTCATATTACAAATGGTTAGTGAAAATTTAATTTTTAATCGATTGATCTACCTTGGATTTTCGAGAGCCTTTGTTATTGATACAAAATTCCCTTTGCCAACCACTGCTAAGTTTGTTCCCTTAAGAGCAGAGTTACAAACAATTTTCTCAAGCAGTGCCCCGATGCCCTGTCTTTAACTTCTTTATTTTACCCATGCATTGCACAGGATTAAAAGTTATTGTTATTTTTTTTTTGTAATTAAATTATTTTCCTGAATGAATGAATAATATTTGCCTTTTGATTTTTTTAGAAAGTATATTTTCATTTGAATTAAAAAGTTCTCAATTATATTTAAGATAAAATGTAATTTTGTTAGTCCACTTTTGATGTCACATATAAGAGAATTTATTAAAGGGACATCCAAGAAAGGAAAGTGAGTTTATTTAGGGACGGAGGGAGTAATAGAACTCAGAGTCAGGACGTTGCACCATGTTTATGATTATCATCAAGATATTTAACTTTTTCACAACTGCATGTAGTTATTTGATTCAAAAAAATAATAACAAAAATATGTAAATTAAGATTAAAGGTGAAAAACAAAATATTGGGAATGAGATGTATCACAACTAAGCGAAAAACTTAATTTAATTTAATGAGAATGATAAATAAAGCTTTTAATTATGAATCTGACATAAATGAACAAATATAAAAACCAATCAATGTAGTAGTAGTAATAATAACAATAATTAAGAGAAATTAGAAATTCAAAGCTTATCTTTCACTATCAATCTCATATTCGAGCAGAAGCTTAGACAGTGTGTCTGGAGTACTCCCAACATCCTCATTATCCAAGGAGATAACTATATTAGGATTTTTTGGCACTTCTCTTTGGGTGAATACATATTATGGGTTAGAAACACTACTCTATTAGGATTTTTTGGCACTTCTCATTGGGTTGTGCTCCTACTCTTAGAAAAAGAACGAAAGGTAAAAAGAGAATTAAATGGACAAAGAAAACTCACTTTTCTGAGTCAAGATTCAAGAAGAACGGTGGCAGCCAAAACATAACTTGGCTCAACCACTCAACCCCTGCCCTTTTATATCAAATCACCAACAACATTTTGACCATACTTGAGAGTTGAGAGCTTTGTTAAATATTGTTTGATGGCATAGGCCCATATGTTAGTTTTTTCAAAAACTTCACAATGAAATGCTGAAAAGTTTTGGGTTATGGAAAGCTATTATAAAAGAGAAAGAAAATGTGTTTCTGAAGCAACAAAATGTTGAGTCAGATGCAGTTGTACTTGCATCTATTGAAAAGGCTCATTCAAATTTCACAATGTGATAGGAAAAATAGCAATATTCAGCTGGATGTTGAGATTTAGTATCTTAAAGAGATCTCCATAAATTGAAATGCCTATAGGGCTACACACCTTGAAAGCAAAATGTGAGAATGGAAATACACACAGTACAAAAGATACATATAGAAATAGTAATGAAAATTTAAGCTTAATTGGATTAAAATAGTTTCCCATATAAATTTAAAGTACAAAGCACAGTGCTGCTAAACTCTCTTTTCTTATACATATATATTAGTGTACTCGGATGATTTTAGTGTACACTCCCATTTCTAGTTAAGAGAAGCTGCTATATCAGTATAGAGGGGAACAATTAATATTAAAAAACTCATTATAAAAAGAAGTTGCTCTTTTAGGGTTGGTTTGCAACTGCTTTTAAAAAAGCACTTCTCAGCTTCTGGCTTTTAAAAAGCACTTATTTTCCCAAACACTACAACTTTTATTTTTCTCGGCTTCCGCGTCAAAAGTGCTTTTACTTTTTCTATTACACAAAAACACTTATTTTACCAAACATTACCCACTTTTACTTTTCAAAATCACTTTTTTCTCAAACACTATCAATTTTTATTTAATCACTTCTCCCCATTTCATTTAAAAAAGCACTTTTTTAAAAGCAGAAGCTGTTGCAAACAGACCCTTAATAACTATATAGACACTCTCTTACTAAATGATTAGAAGGAAGCATATCGATGTGAGTTTTCTCGCACTTAAAAATGATGTAGTAAAGTGGTTGAAAGTACGAGTATCGTCTCCACAGGGACGGACAAAAGGGAATTAAAGATTAACTAAATTCAGCGAATAAAAATAAAATAAAATAAAATGCAAGTGTGCGAGATTGATTGATTGAATAAAAATTAAATTAAACTAATGCGAATGAGCGAATAAAATAAATGTTTGGTTTCTTTCTAATTAACGACAAAGGGAACAGGGATTGATTCCGGGGTAACCATATTTCTGCCAGATCAGGCCTAATTACATGAAATTAATTTAATTGAGCCTAGCTAATCACTACTAAGTTCTTACCGCTCTCGCGGCGTAGAGTACAATAAATTAGGAGACCAGGCTGATCTCTCATGCGACAGGATACTAAATTATTGCCAAGACGAGCGAGCTTACGGCCCCTTTAATCGCTACTAATCTCTTAGCGAACGATTAAGTGTGTGTGAATGTGTCCTAGAATAAACTAGATCTCTCTTAATTTATTCTACAAGCAATTGTAATTCTAGCCGCGGTTCCAGGTTACAAAAGATATCAATTAAATTATTCAAACACAAATTAAACGGCATTCATGCAATTAAACCGAAAAGAATCTAGCCATCAATCATGATTAACCCCTTCATCAACCCCAAATCTCTAATTAAACTACTCACAATTCATAATTGAAGAATCAACAGAATTGGGATGAATAGAAATAATTGTCATTAATTAAAAAGATAGAACTTACAAAGAATCTCTTAATCTTGAAGAACAAGGCTTGAAAAAATCTCAAAAATCGAAATAGGGTTTATCTCTCTAAGCTCCTCCCCCAAAAACAGGCAAAATAGGGGTCTATTTATAGAAAAATCCGAAAACACGCCGAAAATCAGGCCACGCGGTCGTCCGCACGCCGTGCGGGTCACCGCGCGGTCACGCGCGCGTTTTTCCGTCTTCCGTCTTTCGCTCCGCCCGCACGGTGTGCGGGCGCCGCACTATGCAACCGCGCGGGTACTTCTGGGGGCTATTTCTGGACCGCGCGGTGTGCGGTTTTGGCCGCGCGGTGTGCGGTTTCGGCCGCGCGGTGTGCGGTTCAGACCCCTCAACTATTTTCTTTCAGAATCGTCCGCGGGGCGTGCAGAACCGCACCGCGGGGCGCGCGGAATGCTCTTGGACCGTTTTCTTGCCATTTTTTCCCCCGTTTGCTCCCGGATACTTCTTTAATCAATCCAAAGGCCGTTTCTTCATCAAATCTTCGCCGTGAACCTCCTGGTGGCCTCCAAAACTCTCAAATCTCTCTCGAATGTTCTCCAACTCTTCCCGATTACTTCTTAAGCGCCGGTGCCGGACTCTAAATTCCTGATTTTGACTCCAAACAACACAAAACTCGAACCAACGCCCGATAAACATAACTTGAGCTAAAATTGAGACTTGTAACACTTTAAAGCTAGGAAAACCATCAAAAGCCGATCCCAACACGCATCAAATGCGTGTCTAAATACGGACTTATCACATATCATTTCAAGAGATGCAAAAGTATATCGACACTGAAATTCGAAGGGGATAGAAAACTACACAACGAAAGTTTTGCCTAGATTTCTTGAAATATCCTAGACTTAGAAGTTGTTCCGTTCCTCAAGTAAAATCCGATGAGTCAAGAAAAAAAATTGGACTTTAACTTATTATTAGTAAAAACGAATGAGTCAAATGCAAAACTCATACTGAAGTGATAAGGCAAGTGGATTAGCTACAAAAACAAACTCAATTCCAGTTTTCCAAAATAAATATAAAAATCAAAAGCAATACCAAAACCATATTATATATGTCACAGCCCTTCAAATATTGATTAACTCACACTTTTGGGAGAAATTGAGTAATAAGAGGAGTATTGTTGTACTGAATAAGATATGAAATAAGACTAAATTTAATGGAAATGAATGTCAAACTCAATTCGATTTGAAATAATATACTTTTTAATGTGGATAGATCGGATGGTACTATTAAAGAAATTTTAGTTAGGGAGTTTGTGGTGAAATTTGCTCCCATAAAAATGATCTCTGCTTTTGATGATATAGTTCTAAGGAAGACATAAATAATTAACACGATTATCTTTTCAAAACCATTCATAAATAATTAACTTGGGACATGTGGTGCTTATTTTGCAGCTTACCCATCTTAAGAACATCAGTCATTTATATTTTCCATGTGAATCTTACCCAATCAGATTGGTGTTCGCATGAATGTTGTGGAGTGGAACATCATCAGCTGCCATTTCAACTAACTTTTTGGACTCAGTTTCAAGAGCTTCACCATAACCCATACATAGAAGCACTAAAATATTATACAATGCCTCCTAAAAGAGAACTTGTGCAATGCCATTAGAATGGAGAACCTAGAATAGTTCATCACCTTAGAAAGAAAGCACATGAGTGTAAAAATGAATAAAAAATACAAAGAATCACCATAACCGGTCGGGGAATCCTTGGAAGCATCTCTTTTTGACATGTTTCTATCTTCACCTTCCTTTTTCCTTTTCCTTGGTTGTTAATAACCATCTATGATAAGGAAAAAAACTCATGGTTAGAGAGCTGAAGAAACACATATTACACACCTTTTGGGTGATAAAGATTATTATCATCATCATAATAAAATAATGCGGAGTATCTCTAATTCTGGTTCATACTGACCTGATTTCCCCCCATTGCAGATCTTCGTCAACTGTTGTCGGGAGGTCAGCTAACATATGTTGGTGAAGGTGGTACAATGGTTAACTCATCAATTAGCTTCACCAACTGAATAGAAAATGCAAGCTATTAACATAAAGTAATTTATAAAAAAAAATACTAAATAAAGTATAAGGTATAGAAATTAAGACTCCTCTAGCAGGGAAAGAGACAGTCATGATTACTATGGAATTAATATTGTATGTTGCATACACCACTACTTTGTTTCTTCCTATTATCCATTCTTGTTATCCAACATCCTTATTCCTTCCACATAAATAAGATGCATATAGCTATTGAAGTATCAAGTAATATAATCTATGGAGGTGAGCTATATTGTCACAGACTTTAGCAATATTTCTTATTTATGGTTTATATTTACCAAGTGAGGCTAAAGCAAAATGCATATAGTTCCTTCTGAAACAAAACTCACACCATGAATAACAATCTTTATTCCTTGAGAAAAATATATATTTGATAGTAAACTATAAAAAGTAGAATACCATCTGTCCACTATAAAACGTACTTTGTTAAGGTGACAGTGTTTATTATGATATCTAATCTTGCCCTTGATTCAACCTATTAAATAATTCTCAACCGTACCCCTGCTCTCTTTCATAAATGATGACAAATGGCTTCTTCCATAGAGCAAAACCATCAAAAGCAGAGAGGGTTTTTTCAGTGAGTAGATTTTCACCATAATTGTCTCTAACTGAACTTCTTTTAGTAGAGTGCCGTCAGTCCACAACAAAAAGTATTTTATTTCAGATCTTATTGATTATGACAGTGTTTATCACGAAATTACGGTATAAACTTTTGTGTGTGTTTACTTGTAAGCAACATAATACAAATGTCAATGACTAAATCTTTATTTGTCTCGATCCAACCCATTAGGTACTACACGCATTACCCTATGATGCTTTCTTTCATTTGTATTATTACATCTACATACTAATCTCCGCTGTGAGATTAGCAATATCCTGCAAAGAAGAACAAAACTTAGGCGTATCCAGCGCTCAGTCTCCTAAATACTTCAAATGCACTTGGTTGTTTTAAATTTCTCATTTCAACTGCTCAACAACATTTTCATAGGGTCCTCTTTTTCATTATAAACTATTTTAGATTACTTCTAGCTAACTCTATTTTCATTATCAGCCGGGTATAACCACCACCCACTAACATAATCTATTTAAATGGCGAGGGATTGTAAAAGGAGAATTATCTCTTTATATTTACCTTTGCGCCCCAGGTATCTAGATAAAAGTATAAACTAACACACGGGATGTGTTTACATGGCAAGCTCTCAAGCTGTATATCCCAATCTGTCGAGGAACTATCGGAGAAGAAAGAGGCGTGCGCTGGTATTTTTATTTTTTGGCCGAGAAATATGTATACGCAGGAGGAGAAGGGGAGTGGATTTAATCGGTGGTTTCGCATTCAAAACATTTCATCGAACACCTTATGTGCCATAGCTTATATACTTTGTGCACTTACAATATGTGTAAAAAGAACTTAAAAATCAGCAGCGAATACTAATTAGATGATGTGATGAGAATAGATGGCGCACCTGCGTTATTAGAGAGGGCAATACAGCATAAAACCCTAGTATTCTAACGGTATATATATATATATAGGGATAAATACCTTGTATTGCAGTGGTTTGTGCTGTGACGTCCCTCAAAATTGCGGTAATTCCGTGGATGGGGAGCGGGAGAGGCGTGTTATACATGGTAAGATGTCAAGCTGTATATCCAAAAAAAAAAACTGTTGAGGAATTATTGGAGAAGAAGCTTGTATTTTTGTTGGTTTGGCCGAGAGATATGTATGCGCAGGAGTAGCATAACAGGGGAATGAATTTTTATTGGGAAAAATGATCCAGTACGGGTTATTTAAAGAAACTATCAACGAAAGGACCATTATACGCATGAAACTGTTAGAACTCCCTACGTTAGGACTGTTATTTGTTTGAACTTATTATTTTCAGAAACTATTATAAGCATGAAACTGTTATATCCAGTTAGGACTTTTATTTGTTTGAACTTATTATTTTCAGAAACTGTTAGACATCTATCAGCCACCTCCAGTGATGAATACCTCCATATTTAGATATTTTTAGATTATTACCTTACTACTCAATCGATGTCAAAGGTTTATTTTTAAAACTTTCACACATGGTCTAATCATAAAATTATACGTAGTCAGAGGGGTAAAGACGTGAAATATATCTTTAAGAAACTTTCATTGAAATATATTTCAGATGCCAATACACAAACTCGACATTTATTTCATGATAGAACTTGATTCTCAAATGGATACCTGAATACATTAAGCATAAATAGGAGCATTAGACTTAAAAGGAGATTGTTGCAACCATATTAAGATAGTACTCCGTATAAATTTCACCTTCGTAAGAACACGATAATGACTGCAAAGAAACCAAGAAAATACACATTACAATTAAAAAAGTTAGAGACCTGCAGTAAAAGGGTGTGCACTACACTCCCATGTTGCTGAAATCAGACAAAATGCAGTAAAAAAAACGAAGTAAGAGTCAGTTGTATTTAAATTATATGGACATGGAGACACATGATTTAGTTCGTATAGTACTCTTAATGTGGTTAAGATCAAGATACTGATATAGTTAAAGGTGATATATGGGAAAAGCTGAAAACTAGAGAAGGGCATAGCTAGTGAAGGCAAACGGTAAATTAAGATATGCGCCGAAAAAGTAAGAATAATTAGAACAATGTGTACAAAACAGAGCAGTTTAAGAAGACTCACATATATACTTCCTCAAAAGGGAACACTGTGAGGCTCAAACAATTGTTTAAGTTGTATTCAAACTCAATGAGCACTTTAATCGCCGAAGCCGTGATTTTTTATATCCATTTGGACATCAAGATGATTGAACTGCATATACATACATGACATTGTCAAATAACCAAAAGAAACCGGCAAATACCTTTTCACCAAGATACACTTCAATAACTCAAAAACCACTTTTAAGAGAGCCGTTCAAGGTTTCAAGTAATTAAAAAGAATCAAAAGCTCATACACTTTCATAAATAAGAATATATATTATAATATATTGGAGAAATGAAACCATCAAGAATGTTAGAATAAGGAATAGGGATTGAGGAAAATATATAATCTAAACCAAAAAAATAAATTGAACTATAAAAACTAATCTTTTTTTCATATAAACATTTCATTGAACACCTTATATGCTTTGGTGTACCTATAACTCATGTAAAAATTGAGAAATAAATTCATCAACAATAAAAGAACATGGAATAAGAGAAAAGGGAGCGTACCTAGAGCGGCAATGGCCCAAAGGTGGGTAATCCCGTACATCGAAAGCAAGTGGATGAGAGACCTGTTGGTCTTGTAAGTGGTAAAACTCGTGTGAGATGTGCGAGTTTGAAGATAGGTTTTGAATTCTGAATAGCTTTAGGTGAATTTCCCAAGCAAACAGCTGTGAAAAATAGGTGAGTGCGGAGAAGATAGAAAGAAACGGGCGTGAAATTTCGTTCGGTCATGAGAGCTAAAAGACGCTTAAACACATGAGTGAGCCACGTGGCAGCAGGATATGAAAAGAGGGAAAGTTGGGAATAAAGATACGTAGGTATTTTTAAGGATAGGAATGTCTTTATATGAGCTATGTCTTTTCTTATATATAAATAGATAGATAGATTATGAGAACTAGTTTACATGAATAGAGTATCTTAGGCATTGTAAGGCTTTTTATTTTTCAAAAGGCGGATCCTTTTCAGAGTAATTATAGGAAGTATTTATAGACGTAGAACTATAGTAGCCTAAAAAGATATAACCGATACATTTAATAGTCTAATCATGATAGGACTCTTCTAACGTCTCCCATTATAAGCTCTAGGATGAGTCCGACCTCTCCAGAACAGAGTCGACTAATAAATTTAGAGGTCTTGTTCTTCATACCAAAATGGAGGCCCACATAAGAATTAAAATCACAAATAATAAAAAACTCACAAAGTTCAACAAAATTTAAAAATTACAAAAGCCGGATTTTTTATTCTTGAAGTTAACAAGTACGGATTAACAATTAACAATTTTAATAACAAATGTGAAATGAAGGTCAAAAGTAAGAACCGGAAGTGAAGGGAGCAACATGCGATTAAAGTTTGAGGCAAATAGACGATATTGCAATAAAAGTGAGAAAAGGGTAAAAAACTTGAAGGCAGATTGAGAGAACAAAGCAACAGAGATGAGAGCCTAAAGAGTAGGAGAGACACGTGATTCGAGAACCGCTTTCGCAGAGGATGAACTGATTTCCAATCCTAGAGAATTGAATTCGATTATTTGAAAATTGAAATAGTTAGTGGCCGTATGCGGAATTGCGAATATGTTGATTAGCGATCAGCTAGAAATGATGAGTCGGCCGCTTTGCGCCCGATTTTTAAAGAATAACTCCTAGACTGGTTGCCGATTAGTATACTCATTTTATATACTCATTTTACTTATTTATTTATATTATTGTTATTATGAAGGTAGTATTCATAATACTAATATTGAAAAAATGGGGCTCCAAAATTTGGTGGGCCCTGTTCCAAAGAACATGTTAAATCGTTGCCTTCGGCGTGAGAGAAGATGAGTCACAATCATAGCCGGTTTTACACCGATCGAACCCTGTGCACAACGGAGGAACCAGGGGGTGCGAGCCGGTGCCGACGCCACCCGGAGCCGTTAAGGTATATATAGGTAAGATTTTGGCCGGCGCCCCTGAATTGTTTCTACCTTCACAGTCAATCGGTGCCCGACGCCCCTGTCCTTTGCTCGCTGGTGCGCTGATACGAAGTACGAACAAAGGTTGAGAAAATCATTTAGCTGAACGACATCGTTTGATGGAGTTAGAACTTAGAAAAGGAAAAAATTAAAGTAAAACGACGGGCAGTTTTGCAATAAACGACATTCCATTTTCTCAATGGAAAATAATTGAATAAACATTACGTCCTTACAACCTTACTCCTTTGACCTCAGCAGCTCAGCCCAAAAAACGAAGAGACCAAGAGGAGAAATTGAAGAAGACTGATTATTTGAAAATTAACCGCTGCCCGCCGGTGCTGTGCTAGACCGCTGACTATCTCTGGAAGCCGGAAAATCAACCTTATCTTTTCTTCTTTTATTTAATACTCTGTATATTTTAATATTTGGATGTGTGAATTGTATTATTGTAATGTGTTGTTGAAGTGTGCGGCCTTTGTTCATTTATTTTATTAGACAGTGTAGTGGACCTCTGAATTCATTCTTTATTTCTTTTAGTGTTATTTGTTAAGGAAATAGTCTTATTAATTTAATAGCGAATTTATTGATAAAATATAAACCATAGCTTATTATTATATGCATTTGTTGTATAATTTAATAGGTTAATTATGTTAAAACTTTTAATTTCTAATAACAAGTGAAGAGTACTCTTCAAAGCCTCTACAAAAAAGGTCGAAATTGTCTCTTGTTAATTCAATTCTGATCGATAAGATGGTTGCTGATCAAGGTTTATGTGAATGTATTTGTGATTTTGATTCTTTGTGTAGAGATCATGTCCGTTTCGAGTAGTAAAGACGTTTTTTAATTGTATTGAAATTTTTTGGTCTGGTTTTGTCTAGTCTAACCTGATCGAGTCGTATCTGGATTGAAAAAGTATCCAAGTAAAAACATAGGGGTTTTTGAGGGGTTTTGATGCTTCATCGGAGGATGGTTCTCAGCACCCCCTCAAAAAGAGTTCTGGTTCCGCCACTGTCTGTGCAGACAACGTGACGAAGGTGTCGTCTAGAAATCCAGCTGATTGTGTATGGCCACCTGCCGGAACCACAAATGATGTCAAAGACAACTTAATGCCACGAATTGCATAAGCTTCAGTCTGGTTAAAGAAAGACATTTTAGGGAAAACTATCAAATAAGCCCCCGTACTATGCCGAAAAAGTCGATTAGGCCATCGTACTTTACAAACACTCAATTAAGTCCTTGAACTATTAAAAAACGTTCAATTAAGCCCTTTCGGTCAGTCGGTAACTGGTTTCCCAGTTAAATGTAACCCGTTTCCCGGCAGCCGCCGTTGTTGGGGTTCGAGCACATCGTCGCCGTCGTTGCCGTTTAACCGGGAAACCGGTTACTTACCGACCAAAAGGGCTTAATTGAATGTTTTTTAATAGTTTGAGGACATAATTGAGTGTTTGTAAAGTACGAAGGCCTAACCGACTTTTTCGACATAGTACGGGGGCTTATTTGATAGTTTTCCCGACATTTTAAATACGTCTTGTGAAGAACATATAACTTACCTCAAATTGAAGTTTTTTACGGCAAATTTTGTAATGAATCTTGGGTCCCTGCAGATAATTAGTGTACAATGGAAATCATAAAATTTAAATTTTGTGGAATCGCCTAATCATAAAAAATTGAGTTAATTACTCATATAGGACTAAAAGACACAATAAATGCTAAAATAGGAGTGCTTTCATAAGTAATGTTTCATAGGACTCATTTAAGCCTGAGTGGACCATAATAACCTTATTATAAATAAGGCAACACATTTCAAAATCTGAGTAACCGTGTTCACCAGATACTAAGACAAGTTCGAGATGCAGCCTCCCAAACCAGCATCGCTGTCCACAACCATCATCATTCGCCGTTGCCGCCCTCCCGCAGCGCCGCCTACTGCTGGCGCCGTCAGTCACCGGCGCCGCCTGCCGCCGCATCCCTGAAGGTACATCATTGCCGCCCACCGGTGTTGCCATCCTCCGCCGCCGTCACAACTTCATCGTTGTTGCAAGTGTTAAATCCGGCGCCACCACTACACCTCTGAGCACCTCCGTCGCTGTCACAAGTCCAGCACCGTAAATCTGCCATTAGGTTGGCAGATTTAGCCATGGAGATTGATTACAAATATGCCATTAATATGAATTTCGGATATGCCAAAAAGTGGCAGATTTATTTGGGAAGAACACCACAAAATGCCATTATTTTGGCAAAAATATGAAATTACCAACCAAATATTTGAATTCTTTTTTGTAAATGGAATAAGCACTCTAACACAATAAAAAATCAAAAATACGAAGCTAGTGACAAAACTTCTGAAAATCCGATTTACACAAAAAAATCTGCCATAAACAATTGTCAATGTGCACATTTTTGCCATAAACTTGGTAAAATCTTATGCCATCATCCAAAAATTCAGAAAATCGGAGATTTTTAAAAGTAAGAAAGTCGAAATCGAAAATACGAAATAGAATCTGAAAACCAGTAAAATCTATGTCAACTCAGAAGAAGATAGAAGAAGAAGAAGAAGAAGAAGAAGAATGAGAAGAAGAAGAAAACTGACCGACATGGACGATGGCTAGATCTGCAGGGGAGAAGAGGAGTGCAGTGGAGATATCAGTGGCATGCGATGGAGATAGTGGCGGCTTCCAGTGAAGTCGATAGAGCTGCACGGAGAGGAAGAGATATGATGATGCGGAGAAGACAAGATGCAGAGAAGATTGTGGAGAAGATGAGATGCAGAGAAAAGGAGATTCGCGCAGAGAAGATGAGATGCGTAGATGTGCATCGATCGATCCATCTGATTTAGAAGGGTAGGGGAGATAGAAAAGTAACTAGGTGCAGGGGTAAAAATGGGATGGTATTTTTTTATGTTTCATAATAGAAGCAAGTTGGTCCTATTTGGGGAAAAAAACATAAGATGTCCTATTTTTGAATTTTACTCTAGTTTTATTCTTATTTGGGGTAATTTCTATAAAAATTACTACGTATATTTTCTACCCAATTGAAGCTTAGGGGGGTGTATTGTATATGGATTATGGTGGATAATTTTTTATCCATGGATTTTTAAAAAAGTTCATGGACTTTTAAATCCATAGACTTTTAATCCGTAGACTTTTAATTCCATAGATTTTTAAGTCTGTAGACTTTTAAAATGAATGACTTTTGAATGAATGACTTCTATTGATTTTAATAAATTCATAGACTTTTATATGAATATAAAAGTCTATGAATCGTCGGTACCAATCGAGCCTAACATATTTGGGATCGGCCTGAGACCGATTTTCCAATCCCAATCCAGGACTAGCTTCTCTCCTCGGCCTTCGTTACCCAATCTCGGGTGCTATTTTTTTAGACCACGACTGACCGGTCTCGATCCGGGACCGGACCGGGTCGATGCCTATGTGAAAGATATTGATAGACTTATTAACATACAAAAGCTAACGCGACAAATATAATAGGTAATGCTCTCTAATCAAAATGAGGTCGATCAAGTGTTGTATATTAAAAATATAATAATGGCATAAATGCATAATATTGAAACAAAAGTCGTGTGCTACTGAAAGCTATGTAACAAAATTATTCATTTTCAACAATTGTCCACATTTGAGTAGCAAGATTCATTCTCTGTTCATTGACCTTTGCCCTTTGTTGATCTTGTGTTCACGAATCATCTCATTCAAATTTATCCTCAATTATCGCTAGGTGAATCTTCTTCAGGGTCCGGAGGAATTCATCATATCGACATTCCCATTGAAGAAAATTATATACTCCTACACATGCCAAAACTAGTAATAAGAAAATTAAAAATGTTATCGCAATTAATTATATAGGGGATCGGATCTTGCTCACCAAAACCCTAAAAATAGAGCACATGTATTATTGATTAATGATTAATTAATAACATAACTATCACTAGATCCAATATAATTGTATGGAGAGGGCCAAACAAATTGCATCGTGTCCATTGGGGACTCAAACCCATTATTTCACTATAACTTTGCTATTCACCCAATTGGGAATTTGGGATAGAACATGCGACACACAAGAATAAGCAGTAGAAGGGAAGGGGGAACCTGGAAGGAGAAAGGCGGCTTTGGTTTGCAGAAGGAAGAAAATTGCAGAAGCAAGAAAACGGTGGAAGAAAATCCGTGGAAATCTTATGGGGGAGGGTGAGAAAATAATAGAGAAAATCTATTTGTATAAAGCCTGTTGAAATCCATGAATATGAATGATTATCCAATTCCATCGCTTTCATAATTATTTTGAATGCACCTAAATTTTAATTCATTTTTAAAAGTCTACATCCAATACACCTAAACTTTGGTGGATTTCTTGTTGACTTTTTAAAATCTTAATTGAATACACCTAGATTTTTATGGACTTTTAAAAATCCATATCCAATACACCTAGACTTTTGAATTCCATGGACTTCTAAAATTTTACCACTAATCTATTTCTATTCTATTTATATATAAGAAAAGAAATAGCTCCTTAAAAGACAATTCTATCCTTAAAATAATTTAGGTGTCATTGTCTCCACAATTCACTCTTCTATCACACAATTGCCATGTGACAATTTCAAGGATAAATGCGGCAATATAAACACCAAAGGGATGTTGCTATATACTCTCAAAAAACGTGGCATCAAGTAAGTGGGCCCCAATGTATAAAAAACCACCATTTTCTTTAAAGTATTATAACTTTTTAACCGTTTATCTAATTTTTATAAAAAAAATATCAAAAATCATAATTTTTTACGAGCTTTCATATGATATCAATATAGCATATATAAATTTAAAAGGCTCTAAAAGTTTATTAAACAACCTTCATATTTTATATTACCAATGCTCTTTTACTAAGCGCACTCTAAATAACATTCTAAATGAATAAAAGGTGCAATGTACTCCGTATATAAACTTCATTCTCTTCAAAGTGTTATAACTTTTTCATTGTTTCTCTAATTTTTATAAAAAAATATAAAAAAATCATAAATTTTTACGATTTTTTATATCACACTAATATTGAATATATAAAATTTTTGAAGACAGAAAGTTTTCTATTTATATATAAGAAAAGAAACAGCTCCTTAATAGTCAATTTTATCCTTAAAATAATCTAGGTGTCATTCTCCCCACAATTCACTCCTCTATCACACAATTGCCATGTGGCAATTTCAAGGATAAATGGGGCAATATAAACACCAAAGGGATGTTGCTTTATAAAAACTTTTTCGAAAACTATTGTTGAATTAATCTCATTACAAATTTTTATAATTTGATTTTAGTTATTTTTTTACTAATAGACAATTAAATATAATGACAATCAAAGTTGTACATTGTCAACATAAAAGTGGAAATGTTACAACTAAAAAATAAAGAAAGTAGTAAAATAAAACCGAATTATAATTCCTAAAAGCTAATACAATAACATTCAAGCCTTAGTCCCAAACGATATTGAGGTCGGCTAACATGAATCGATACATGATATCACCAAAAGGAAAAGAAAGAAAATTCCTAAAAGCTAATAAGTCACATTTTTCTCACTAAGTGATAGTGGTCATAATTATGAATGATTTCCTTAAAACTAAATTGCCCTGAATACACTTTTATAGTTACTTTAGTATAAAATAAAATATAATTATAATTCCCAAGATAGAGGGGTCACATATTTAGGAAAAACATCTCAAATAAATATTTGTGGATAAAGTGCCACTAAATTCGTTATTACACTTTTATAGGTCCATGGTTTATAAATGTCACTTAGTCTATTAAAGTTGCTCATCGAGAGTCATACGACAAATCAGTAGTAAGGAATACGGAGTAAAAAGTTATAATAGTTTAAAATTAACTTTTTATCATCATCATCTCCAACATATGATTTTTATGTATGTTTTATTTTTTACCGATGTTATAAGAACCAAAGTTAGTCTTTAAAATCAATCCAAGTTTCATCAATTTCGGTAGATTCAGAAAAAATTCAATAAAAAAAACACCATCTATTTATATATAAGAATTAATAGACCTTCTTTAAAAAAAAAAAAAGAATTAATAGACCTTTTGTTTTTTATACGCTACTAGAATATGAAATAATTGTCTTATGCAGTACATTAATATTTGTCTATTTTATAAAATTGTTCTACACTATTTAAATATGAAAATGTTAATTTATGCACTCCATTAAATATAAGAAAAAAATTCTATTAATACTACTCCTGGAAAAGTGGAGGACAACAAGATTACTTAGTAACGTTTATTAACTATACCTGTTTACAAATTTGAACACAGTCAGAGTTACTAAAATTAAAGTGACTAAGTCATATATTTGTCCACTATTTTTATTAGTTCTTTTAAGTATATACTGGATACTAGATAAGCGGACTAATAATTGAGCGATAGCTTTTTCTCTAACATATGAGTGGTTTTAGGTATTAGATAAACAACTAATAATGGAGCGGGTGAATTTCGTCTTTCAGATGTATTGCTTTTATGTATAAGATAAGCAGACGAATAATCAAACGAGAAAATTTTCTCTCTAATATGTAGTCTTTTAGGTATAAGGTAAGCAGACTAATTATTGAGCGAGAGGATTTTCTCTCTCATATGTAGTGTTTTTAGATATAAGATAAAAGCATAATTATTTTCCCTATCATATTTAATGTTTTTTTTTGTATAAGATAGGTCGGCTAACAATTAAACGGGAGAATTTTCTCTCTCATTGTAGTGCTTTTAAATATTGACGGAGTAGAAGATAAGTTTGCTAACAATTGAGTGAAAGATTAAAAAAAAATTGTCTCTTACATGTAGTTCTTTTAGGTATATACTGGATACTAGATAAGCGGACTAATAATTGAGTGAGAGCATTTTCTCTAACATATGAGTGGTTTTAGGTATTAGATAAAGAACTAATAATTGAGCGGGTGAATTTCATCTTTCAGATGTATTGCTTTTAGGTATAAGATATGCGTACTAATAATCGAACGAGAAAATTTTCTCTCTGATATGTAGTTCTTTTAAGTATAAGGTAAGCGGACTAATAATTGAGCAAGAGAATTTTCTCTTTCATATGTAGTGCTTTTAGATATAAGATAAAAGCAGAGTTATTTTCCCTATCATATTTAATGTTTTTTGTATAAGATAAGTCGGCTAACAATTGAACGGGAGAATTTTCTCTCTCATGTGTAGTGCTTTTAAATATTGACGGAGTAGAAGATAAGTTTGCTAACAATTGAGTGAAAGAACTTTTTTTCCTCATATGTAGTTCTTCTAAGGATGTTTTTACTTTGACTATTTTCAGTCCCAGACCAGACCAGATTAATTAGACTAGACTTGGAAAGTTATAAAATACACAGAGATTAAACATTTAGCATACAAGACCAGACCGGATCAAACAAACAAATTTCATACTAGATATGTCGGGTAATAATTGAGCGAAATAATTTTGTCTCTCATATGTAGTGCTTTTAGTTATAAGATAAGTTTAACTTGCTAATAATTTGAACGGGAAGTTTTCTCTCTCATATGTACTGTTTCTAGGTATTAGAAGATAAGCATGCTAACAATTGAGCGGGGATATTGAGCGAAAGAATTATCCCTCTCATATGTAGTGCTTTTAGGTATTAGAAGATACATGTGCTAACAATTGAGTGGGAGGACTTTCTCTCTTATATGTAGTTATTTTAAGAAAAGTGCTTTTAGTTATAAGATAAGTCGGCTAATAATTGAGCGGAAGAATTTTATCTCTAACATGTAGTGGTTTTAGGTATAAATACCAAGATAAGTTTGCTAATAATTGAGCGGGACAATTTTCTCTCTCATATGTAATGCTTCTA